CATTGCCACTATTATCTTGCTATCCAGCGTCTCCTAAATTACGTATAGCCCAACTATCTCTGTAGAACGATTACAGATTAGGGGGAAACACTTAGGTATTGGGTGCTTCGTGGCTCAAATCTGTAAATCTCAGAGAACAACTCACCAAGATTTGTGCTCCTAGTAATCAGAAAAGCTTGAACAACTCTGGGGTAAAGGTATTTACCAGGTGCTCCTCCCTGTTGGCCTCCTCCCCTAGCCGGGACCTGAATCAATAACCACCCTCTGTTTCTTCTCCCAGCGGGCCTTCATCCCCCTGGTGCCCATCTGGGAGGGGGGGAGTCTTTGAGTACCAAGCTACCTTCGCTGACCAGCTCCCCTACTCTGCCCCTGCTCCCCAGCTCAGATCTTACCACCCAGGTCCAAAGTATCCAACATTAAACCACACAAATCTGTTTTCCTGGAACGGGAAGGGGAGGCTGCAGGTTATAAACACAATGAGCCAGAAATCAAGGTAGACAATCCGACAGGTATCGGGTACTTCAGGAAAGAAAACAGACAGTTCAAACCAACTTTCTTATGGACAATTTTGGATTTGTGGACTGCACAGAAACAATGGAAAGTTTACAGATTTGGATCTATTTCTAGGACAGATAGAAATAAAAGCTTATGATGCAGGCTAAAAAAGAAAACATGACCAAAAGACTAAAAAGTAGAAGGAATACAGATCAGATTCTTATGTTACCAGAAAAGAACATCAAAATAACTATAATTAATAATTTTTCACCGAGGGCAGCACCTGTGGCTCAAAGGAGTAGGGCACCAGCCCCATATACCAGAGGTGGCGGGTTCAAACCCGGCCCTGGCCAAAAACTGCAAAAAAAAAAAAAAATTTTTTTTTTCCACCTTTAAGCAGTGTAGGGACAGACAAAGTGTTTGAGCTTTCTCCCCCACAGCCTTGGGCATGAGTCATAATAAAGCTGTCTGGGCTTCTCTCCCATAACCCTGTCGGAAGTGTAGGACGAGATAGAAGGTGCCTGTGTTCCTACACAGCCGTAACTGTATATAGTGATGTCACGCTTCTGTAGCTGCAGCTTGGCACATTGCCATTTTTGTTCCCTATAAAGGTGAACAGGACCTTCCCTTTACACAGACTGTGGATCACAAAATGTGGACTTTCTGTGTAACCCAGGTCCCCGGCCTCCAGGAGCTAGATTAGTGCAGACCTCCCATGTAACTCAGCTCACCAGCTGCCCCTGAGCTGAATAAAGCAGGTTGCTTCTGCCCTCCATTCTGAGTTTCTCTCCAGTCTGGCTGAATTAGAACATTGGCATTACAGCAGGCAAGCTATACTCACAGCCTCAGGTCCCTCATGTATAGGATGACCAGACGTCCCGCTTTTGATAGGACAGTCCTGCTTTTCAACATTTTGTCTCGCCTCCCGCGGCCTTTTAAAAAGGTCCCGATTTTTGGAAAGAATGCACAAATGGGCAGGAGAACAAGAAGGGAATATACGGTTTTTGGCTGCCATGTGGCTATTTCTCCAGAATATGACTTTTATATTATTTTTGTTAATTTTATAATGTTAAACTGTAATAATAACACATAATTGCTGAGAAGTGATGATCGAGAACTGCTTATCAAAGTTTGCGTTGTTGTCAGGCCCTGCCCTGTTCCGCCCATCCCCACCCTCCCCACCCCCGCCATGTTGTCCCGCCTTACCGATGTTAAAATCTGGTCACCCTACTCATGTATAAAATAAGATTTACATGAATACTCTTGGGGTTAGTGTAGAGATTAACCCTTTTCAGTTCAGTTCCCAACTTGACTAGTAGTCAATGTCGGCAACCCCTCCTTTGGAAGTGCAAAAGGCCTAGGACAGGGGAGCCTAAGAGAGTTAAGCCCCTCCTTATCTTCTCTCTGCACCCTGCCCACTTCTACTCTCTCCTGTGCCCTATCTTTTCCTAGTTCTGTTTTTTTCTCGCTATTTGCCTTCTCTTTCTCTACTTTGAAACTTCATTTTCCAACTCAACACAGCAATCATATTTTCCCTGTGTATTCTGCAGGTGATCCACAGAGTGGCCTCTCAAAATTATCTGAGAACTCATAATTTGCAAATTCCTACGTCTTTGAAAACCTGGTACCCAAACTAGGGTTCCCAAACTAGAGAGCCAATAAAAAATAATTGAAAATGCCAGCTCACTCAGGCGCCTGTAGTCCCAGCTACTTGGGAGGCTGAGGCAAGAGAATCACTTAAGCCCAACAGTTTGAGGTTGCCATGAGCTATGACACCACAGCACTCTACCCAGAGCAACAGCTTTGAGACACTATGAAAAAAAAAAGGAGGAGGAAAAAAAAAATACTTGCTCACAGATAGGAAGGATCAGGTGGCCTCAGGAGAACTGAGGTGCACTGGAGGCCTAACTGAAGCTTTCATGGAGGGCACAAGAGGCAACTCCCCAGTAACAAGGTGCACGACACAGAATTTGCAGCACGCAGTTATTTCCTTTTCTGTCCAAGGAATAGGAAAGGACTGAAGGAGGGGGGCACAAACCTACATATAAAAGACAGGAGATAGGCAAACACCACCACAGAGATATCAACATTATCTTGGAAGATGGAAAACAGATGAACAATGGAAAAGGACTGAGAAGTCAAAACAGAATCTAGGTCCACAGTGGGGAAATTCTAAGCCAAAAGTAGGCAGATTCATGCTGCAGAACTTCACAGAAACAAGAGGGAGGCATAGAGCCAAATCCAAGAGGTTTGACAGGGAGATCTTCCTGAGGAACAACAGGACCTTCCCCCTCTCTCTCCTCCACCCTGGAAGACAAACTGTTACCCTGGCTGAAGACCGAAGCTTTACTATTAGCAGACATTGAGTCAGAGGAATCATAGGAGACTCTAGCATCTCAGGCCCAGCTGAGGGTAGGGATGAAGGACCAAACCTGAAACTGGTGGATTCAGTAAAAGTTTACACATTGAATTTGGGACTCTCTGGCTCCCTCTCATTCTTGGTTAAAGCTAGCATCTAAGCTTATTACCCCCCTGTGGTAGCAGAATGATGACCCTCCAAGGATGTCCACATCCTAATCTCTGGAATTATGTTACTTTACATGGCAAAAGGGACTTTGCAGGTGTGATTAAGTTAAGAATCTACAGATGAGGAGGTTATCTTGGATTACCCATGTGTGCCCAATGCAATCACAGGCTCATTATACAACTGTACATAAATACTGTACTCTAGTTAGTAAATTTACTTTGCACAGGGGTATAGCTTAGCAATTCTGAAACTGATTTATGTATATGCTAGAATTGAACAAATAAGTAAATACATTGAATATAGTAAGAACCAGGCTTCTTAGTGCTTGAGAAAGGAGTTACAGACAAGGAAAGGGGCAAAGCTAAATGGATCCTACACTGTTAGGTTAGATTATACACACACACATATACATAATGTATAAACTTAGTGTGTTATGTATACAATGCAGATATATATTCATACACATACAGATCAAGAAAAATATGTGCATGTGTGTGTGAGTATATATATGTATATTTTGTAGTTCTTTGTACTGAGTGGGCCCAGAAGCAATGATATCTAGTAACAACGAGAATACACAGTGCCCAAATCTTGGATCTTAAATACCATTCTCTAATAAAAGGAGCCAGGGCCATTTTTTCTTGAAGAACTGGTTGATTCCAGTGGGGAGGCGGGGAAATTCAAGATAGGCCTGGCATATCTTATAGTGCCAGAAGGTAAGGAATTGCTCATAAAATGAAGGAGGCATGTTGAAAGGACACAGGCACCAATCAAGAAGCTCCCAAGGGCCAAATCTAGAACAATCTGAGCAACAACATAAGTAGTAATGAATTATAATCCATAGAATAAAAGAAATATCCATGAGTCACATTAACATAAAAAAACATCAGACAATCCCAAGTTGAAGAACACCCTACAAGTTACCAGGTCAGTATTCTTCACATTCACAAGGTCATGATAGACCTAAAGATATACCTAAAGATAGACCTAAAATAAAGCCAGGTTGGAGGAGACTATGGAGAGATGGCAAATAAGTGCGATGTAGGATCCTGGATGACATCCTGGAGCAGACAGAATGGACACATTTTGGGAATGATTGGCAAAATTCTAAAAAGGTCAATTGACCACTTAATAATATTATACCACGTAAGATAGCAACATCAGGGGAGACTGAATGAGGGAATTTAGTAAACTATTTTTGCAACTTGTAAGTCTGAAATTATTTCAAAATAATTTTTTATCAAGTAGTTATTATGCTCTCCTGTTTTTTATCAAAGATATAGATAACTAGGCTCGGCTTCTATGTGCGCCAGCCACATACATTGAGGCTGGCAGGTTCGAACCCGGCCAGGGCCAGCTGAACAACAATGACAACTACAACAACAACAAAATAGCCCGGCATCATGGCGGGTGCCTGTAGTCCCAGCTACTTGGGAGGCTGAGGCAAGCAAGTGTCCTCAAACTACAGTCTGCAGGCCACATGCAGCCCGCCTAAGACATTTATCTGGCCCGCCCAGTGTTTTTGCCGCTGCTGCCTGTTCTGCTTATCAGCCTACTCATCCCGGGACCCGCAGTCCAGCTCTCCAACGGTCTGAGGGACAGTGAACTGCCCCTGTTTAAAAAGTTTGAGGACCCCTGGAAGCCCAAGAGTTTGAGGTTGCTGATGCCACAGCACTCTACTGAGGGTGACATAATGAGACTCTGTCTCAAAAAAAAAGACATAGATAACTATTAGAGATTTACAAGTCAAAATGTTACCATATTCCTTAACCATACTGAGTTAGTGTAAATACTGCCTAAAGCAAAAAAATTTGACATTTTAACCCACGTAATTTTATTAAAGATAGGTGTTTTCTGTTGAAATACTCAACAGATTTCAATATCATCTTTAAGGACTTTTAGGAGCACGAGGTTCCCAGATTTGTAATCACATGAATGAAGTCTAGTAATAATTCATTTTCTCTTTTCTCTTTTTAAGATTAAACCACAGCTTGAAAAAAGAACAAATGAGACTTATGCAGAATTTGAAGCCGTACTGTATAGAACTCAAGTAGTTGCTGGAATAAATTACTTCATTAAGGTTAGAGTTCAACATCCTCCTTAGCACTAAACAATACTATATTTCTTAATTCATGTAAAATGTTTCCTGTTTCCCCTACTCTATAATTTGTTCCCTCTCATTATCCTAAATTAAGATGCCCAGCTGATACTTTCCAAGCGGTAGACTTTCAAATTTGGCAGATGAAGTTATACCTTTTTTTCTTCATGAATTAAGAAAAAAAATTTAATATTGATTCTTAATTTCCAGAGATTGTAAAGTAAAAGATTTTGTGTCAGTTCAGGGCATGTGTGCTCTGTGGCTGTGGCCATAAAGAGGGAGGATAAGGTTGGCACTTGTGGCTCAAGTGGCTAAGGCACCAGCCACATACACCTAAGGTGGCGGGTTCAAATCCAGCCTGGGCCTGCCAAACAACAATGATGGCTGCGACCTAGCCAGGCGTTGTGGTGGGCACCTGTGGTCCCAGCTACATGGAAGGCGGAGGCAGGAGACTCACTTGAGCCCAGGAGTTGGAGGTTGCTGTGAGCTGTGATGCCATGGCACTCTACCCAGGGGGACAGCTTGAGGCTCT